CATTATTTATAGTTTTAAAAAGTTCTGGTTATATATCCTAAGACTTAAATGTGCTACTCTAATAATCACGAGTCTATTTTAAAATACAAAGTACTAATGAGTTTTCTGACTGAATTGGGTGGAGAAATGTGTGAAATTAAATAAATGTAATTTCAGGGCCCTAATAGTGCTTTCAGTCTTGGGGAAGCACATGAGAAGGGCAAGAATAAAAATGACCAGATACATAAAAATTTATAGAATACTTATATTTAATGAAGCCTAGGTCTCAAAAATATAAGAAACTACAGGAACTACATTTTAAGCAAATTCTTGGGAAAGAAAAGTGTTCATGAAACCTTACATAGATAACTAAGTTTTATTGTATCTGGTTATAAATATGATCATTCAAAACATCTGCTTTTAGCTCACACTGTGGAATCTAGTTTTTACCTTGCATCTGTCATGTGTGAACTTGTTATGGATATTTTATTTTAAACTGAAGAAACAGCTGCTTCAATAATTTGAAATGAATTCCCAGGAGGACCTTTTCTAGGCTAGTACTACTGCTGTGTTACAATGAAAATGATTATATGATAAAATATATGTATGTGTTGTCTTTGTCTTTTGTTAAAAGGCATTATCATCAGAGTATTAGACCTTTTTAAATTAAAAAAATGTGTTATTAGATTTTCAGTTGCAGTATATATCATCCAAACAGGAACATCTAATATTCCCATACATTTCACAAAAAATAACATTTAATTTTCCCACACTAATAAGAAAAGTAACTCGCCTGTGTTTTAAATGAAATTAAAATGTGTTATGTATGCCATGTAATCACTAAATGCTTATTTAAGTATAATGTATCCAAACACAGTAAAATGTACATATTATTTGCTGATCCACAAGCATAGTTGTCTTTATTGAACAGATAATCATAACTCATAAATACCACTCTACTATATGTTGAAATATAGAACTATTATAATGACCTGTTTTTAAAATGCTTTGTAACACTATGGCATTTTCCATTCCACAATGCTTCCAAATTCTTGGAATCCCTCAGGGAAGAGAGGTGAGTAAAATTGTTTCCACTAATTTTCTAGCATGGAATAACTCTTCCAGTGCAGATAAATATAGAATCCACTTTGATTATAGTTAATTTTAAAGCAAACTTTGTATCTGTCCTTACAATTAAAGACTCTTTCTTTGAGCTGATCTGTGTTGTAGGGTTTCGGTGAACATGTTTTATGAATAATCATATGCATAATTAGTGCCAGTCATTAAGTTCAGCTGAGAGGATTTTGATATTTTGGTTTGGGTTTTATCTTTTTTTGTTGTTTTTTGCCGCCTTCAATTTTTAACCAGAAGATCCAGCTGTTTCTCTGAACAATATTAGGGAGTGAATTGGTCTGATTCCAAAGTCATTTCCAGAGCGAATGAGTGGACTGCACTCTACACTGATCTTTATTTTGCTGGATGTTCCAGCTAGAGTTTCTTTAGTGCGTGAGAGAGCACCTAGCTCACTCCCTTGGTGGAGGTGAATGTGTCCGCCTCAGAGATTGTCAAGTGGCTCACGTGTCAGCTCCTCTTATTTTCATTCTGCCTCTCTCTGCAGTGGCAGTTTACTTTACAAAGCTGTGGGGTTGTTTCCATCCTTCAGCAGTTTCTCAGTTAAGCAGATGCCGTGTTCTCCAGAGTTTAGACAGTGACTGACTTGGAGAGCAGTCCTCCTTTCTCGGAAGGCCTCTCGACCTCTACTCTCAGGCTTTCCTTCTGAATTTCTGTTTACTCCTTAGAAAGGTAGCTTAAACTCCATTCCAGAAAATCTTTAAGGCTTTCTCCTCATTCCAGTGACTAGACTGTCTGACCAGAAAGTTAGGCAAACTGATCTGGCAGCTGTCCCTCCAGAGGCCCCTCACTTTGACAATAGCGGGAAGTCCCACAACCCCGCTGGAAAGCCTTACGCTCTCACCGGCACACTAGCTCCGCTCACACCATTTTACAGATAAGAAAACAGAGACCCAGAGGGTTGAGGAATTTGCCAGAGGTGCACAGCTAGTCAGTGACCGGATGAAGACACAGGCCACACTGCAGGCCTGGATACGTCTTTGTGAACCACATTGTTATTTCCTGGTTTAAAAAGAGTGGCCTGTGTGGTTGTCCTGCCCTGCTTATGTTGCCAGGTTTGACCCTGGGCACCATAGCAGCCCCCATCCTGGGCCGCTCAGGCAGCAGGACCAGGCAAGAAAAGGAGCCCACTGTGGACACGCCTATTGGTGCAAATGCCTACTTACTGCAACATCAGTGTCTGAACCAGGTTATGCTTCTGGAAGGATTCTTAACATAAAAAAAGGCATGTTTCATTTTTTTTCTCACTTGCTTTTGCTTCTTTGTATCCTTACTCCTCTCCGCGAGCATGCACATCCAAGGAACATCTCAAAGTGTAGTTACTCAAAAAATTGTGGGTAAACAAATCTGTCTACGACCTACCTAACTAAATTATCTCAACAATTGAATTAATCTTAGTTACATATATGTATGTACATATGTGTGTGTATACATATACATATATGTATATATATATATAAATATATATATATATGTAGACAGCCAGTGAGATAAGCCAACATTTTTTAGGGTGATTTTAGCTTTAGGATTATACTAGCCTCTAGGCCAACAAACATCCCTCATTTTGGGAGAAGATGACCAGCAAGCGCCTTTCAGATGGCTGAAATAGGCAGAATTCCATCTACAGACTCCCAAATAAAATTGCCTGGATGTGAATATCCTACCAAAAATGTATGTTAATCATTTACTAATTTTTAAGCATATAATAATAAGAGTAATATTTATCGTGACATATGTTTTAAGGAATTTCTAGTTTATCATCTTTTGATTATTTAATACTTATGTTCATGTATGAACCTGATTAGAGAGACATTTTGGTGAATCAAAAGACTTATAAAAACCTTATGAGTAGTCTGATAGTAGTTTAAATGTCACCCTCAAGGTTCTAGTCCATTCTCCTGGCCTCCCAAAAGAGCTTAACTCTAGAGTATGGCCCCTCAGCATTGTGTTGCTGTGTACACACTGTGTGGGGGTGCATGTTGACAGTGGGGGTGCACCACACACACTAGACTGTCTCCAGAGTTCTCAGGCGTATCTACAAAATACAGAATGCAATCTGATCTTTTCTTGGGGAAAAAATAAGCACATTATAATAGATTCCAAAATCGTATTCACTGTTTTTGCTCATCAATGCAGCCATCCTCCTTTTTTTAATATAAATTTTAACTATATTTTGATGGTAAAAG